ATTAAGAAAAAAGAATCTTTCACCCACTACCCAGAGCAAAGGCCCAAGAAGGGGAGAGCACACGTGTGTCCCAATCCCCAGCAAATCACAGGACATGTTGCTTCAGACCCAAGAATGTTCACTCAAATTACTATTATTTCATAGTTGAATCTTGTTAATGATCTAAGTGTATCATGCAGGTAACACTCATACCTTATACTCAAACGAGTATCTCATAGCCTTTTTAGATTTGGGAGAAATTTGCCTGGTTTTTTTACCTGGTTTCCCACACAACACGTTAAACGAGAAATAGAAGGTGCAGGCAAGGGGACTCAGAAATTGTATAGTCCAAGTCCTCTTGTACATAGCAACTAAAAACCAACTTAAAAAGAAGTGGTGGTTATTTAGTAATTTAACACTAGTGCTAATGTGGAACATGTTCTCTTTTTTTTTTACTAATATTAGGAAAAAGTGCTATCTGAATATCACCGGGGACAATTCATTAACATGAAGATATCCTGGTCCCAAACCTCTCTTTGCCCCTCCATATTTATTCTGTGCATGTATTCCTAAGCCCCATGTACTCCAAAAGAAAAAGTAAGAAAATTACAAGGCCTAAGATAATTCTGTGAAAGCTACAGAGAACTGCATCTTCAACAGGTTCTGTGCTCAGTAATTAGTTTTCCACACACCTGTCTTTTCAGAATGATGTGTTGATAAAATGCATCACTGCACAAATCTTTGTTGAAGACATGTTATTAGAAACCCCAAACTGCGCTGCAAAGACACATGCCCAAGATTGTCGCTAGAGATTAGTTGGTACCAAGGTTTTAAGCTATCTCTGACTTTAAACTTTCATCCCTAAGAATTCTATAAGACTTGAGTTCAACATCCTCCCTGCTACCACCCCAAAGACATTTTGCCCTTCCTGATCCTTTTTCTTATACTTTTGAATTTAAAAGAGACTGAAAAAGAATTCTTTAGGGAACAAATTCATCCTCCTTTCAGAGTTAACATGGAAGAAAGGACACATAATTAGGTCCCTACACAATATAAGCTATTTGTCCCAAGAAAACATTATGTGCTGGGCCTCTGCTCTCCGTGCCAGAATTCCATGGGTCCATACCTTGGGCATTCTAGTCATGCCACCAACAAGAATCACTTCTCCTATGTCACTCTTGCTGACTTCTGCATCTTGCATGGCTTTCTGGCATGGGGCGATGGTCCTCTTGATCAGCTCAGTGACAATCCCCTCAAACTGAGCCCGGGTCAGCTTCATATTCAAATGCTTGGGTCCAGAAGCATCCATTGTAAGATATGGCAAGTTGATGTCAGTCTGCAAAGGAAGCAGGGAAACCAGTTGTGAAGATTTCCTTTATTCTTTCAATTAAAATAAGACAACGGGAAGACTTTGAAAACTACAGGGAGGGTCAGACCTACTTTAAAAACAGCCACCAGACAGTGACTCAAAGATGCAATCTCTTATCTTCCCAAAGGTAAACACTACAGAATCTGTTATTAAACAATGAGAACAGGAGAGAAGCTGGAAAAATTCCCATTTAGGTGATGAAGAAATGAGAAGTGTTCTGCCACTAAATATACATTAAAAACCGCACTGTTTTTTTTTCCCCACTAAGTTTAAAAAAATTTCATGTACATAAAAAATAAATAAATAAAATAATTGAAGGTATGCTCTAAATAACCTGCCACAAGCCAGAACTTTGTAAGTTTCAGAAAGATAGTTAGAAAGCTACAACAGAAATGCTAAAGAGAACTACAAGGAGTGACTTTATTGCCATCACATCTACAAACAGCACCTAACTGCCACCGTCACACCATGTAATAAACTCAAATCCTAATATGGCATAGATTAAAAACATTGAAACTAACATAACTCATTACTAAGCAGTTCTCATAAGTTTTGTCCCCGTTTCCCAAATCCAGCTAAGTATGTCTCACTATCACACTTTAGCCCAAGTCCTTTCTCTTGCCAACTGGTATACTACAATAGCTTCCCTATGATTTCCCACATCCACTCAGGCTGCCCTCTGCCACAGAACCTGTCCCCACCGAAACCAAATCTCCAGTCCATCTCAGAGTACTTTTCATAAACTCAAATCTGACCATGTTATTGCCACTGACATAAGTTTTCAGTGGTTTCTACACACCACATCACAAATCTATAAAGCCTGCAGCCTTATGTTCCATGCTCCCCTTGCCCATCTGCAATTCAGCCACACTGGCCCTTTCTCAGGTCTTTGTCCCAGAGTAACTGACCCTTTATCTTTTCTTGATGAACTCATCTTTTAGCATTCCTTGGTATGTCAAACACCACTTAGCTGTCAGGTTCCTCTATTATAATGATAAAACTTTGCCTTTTTACCACCTTAATAATAGCTTCATTTGGAGTACTTATATTCACAACACATTGTCCTAAGCATATTACATATGTGAATTACTAATCTTTGTAACTTGAAGGGGGAAATTAGCATTAGCATCCTCATTTTATAGTAGAAATGCTAGGTAATTTATCCAAGGTCACAAAGCTAACAAGGGATGAAAGAGGACTTGAATCCCAGCAGTGTGCCTACAGAGCCTCTACATTCATTACTTCTGGTTTGACAATGTTCTAAATAATGTCCTGTCCATCTCCCCAAATCACACTGTAATCTCCACAAGGGTAATGTTTCTAGGAATTTATCCAACAGATTTACGATCAACAAACAAACATTAATGTACAAAGATGCTCAATATACATTATAGCAAAATGCTGGAAAAGAATTTAAATACCTATCAATAGGATACAGCAGGTCTTTGAATAAAGTTGTTTTAATATTGAAGATATGACATAGGAACTTTATTACTTATTTTTATCCATTAGCCTATGGTAAAATTGGTATCATATCAGTTGCAGAACAAACTGATGACATTAAGTGAAGACTTATTGTACAGTTACACTAAAACCAACCCCTCCTTCCAAAAAGTATCAGACCCCCAGGAAGAATTATAAGCTATTCTCTGGCTATGCCACAGTTATTTCAACCCTAAGCCTACCCATCATGTTTCAAAGTTCTACCACTCTGTATGATACTAGGAACAAAGCAACACCATCAACATCATGGCTGACTTTGTCACTTCTCATAATTACTTAAAAATCCAAGTTTGATTGAAGGTTATACTTCTTCCCTTCTCAGTAGGTAGTCTAACAACTAAACTAGCCCTGCTTCCCTGCTGCCATGGAGAATCCAGAAATACATTTCCTGCCTTCTATCTTGTTGCATCTCTGACCCAGACCTAATATGCTTTCTACACTTTGTTTAGTGGTTAAGGAAAAGCAAAGCTTCACCTCGCAGAAGTGGAATAGCATAGGCTGACACCTTAAACAGATGCTGAGCAAATGTGATGCCCACAGAAGAAAAACTTCAAAGGTGTATAAACTCCAGCCTTCAGCCAAGTTTCATAACTCACTTTCTAGATGGTGATACAAATAATTAAATAAGACACAATTACAGGTGTCTTGATTTAAGTGAAGACAGTAGCAGTTCTGAGAGTCTCCTAGTATTTACAGGGTAGCAATTATAATTTTGCACACTGCTAGATTTTAGCTCTAGTACACATAACCTCTGATTTGTATAGTTAACAAATTTCAGCTCATCCATAAAAACTTATGGAAAAAGTACTCCCCCTTTGTTCATGGAAAGATTTTACCACCAACCAGAAAACTGTAAAAAAATTAGTCTAACATTAAGGCAATTAGAATATGCTATTCAAGTAAACTCAGCCTGAAAAGACCCATCAAAACTGCTCGGATTTGTCTATGTCTCACCTGCACAGATGAGGAGAGTTCACATTTAGCCTTCTCAGCAGCTTCCCGAACCCTCTGAAGTGCCATGTTGTCTTTGGTCAAATCAACCCCAGTCTATAAGACATACAATACTAGTATTAATGAGACGACAAATACTATTTAAATTGCAGTAATAAACTGTAGCAACACAAAATAGAGCCATATCTTTATAAACAGGCATGAATTACTTATTGCCCTTAAAAATCTATAGGGAAAAGAAAACCTATTCTAAAAAAGCTATCTGTACCTGGAGTCAGAGGGCTGAACTGATGTCAGTTCTTTCAGCTGTAGAATTCTAGTTCAAAAAAGGAATTCCCAGAATTCCTTTTCCAATATTGTACAGAATGCCATATTCTTTTAATCTGTTTAATCCCAATCTGAAGCTACAATAGCCAGGATAGTTCAGTCCACCCATGAAAGTGAAATGCAAATATTTCAGTGCTCTACTCAGGGCAAAAAATTATAAACAAACAACAATCTAAACAAAGAAATTCTCATTATCCCGATGTCTACATATTAACCACACTAACCTCTCTTTTGAACTCCTTCACAATGTGTTGTAGCAAGGCCTGGTCAAAGTCTTCTCCACCTAAGAAAGTGTCTCCATTGGTGGACTTCACCTCAAATACCCCTTTCTGAATTTCCAGGATAGAAATATCAAAAGTTCCACCACCTAAATCATATACAGCAATGCTAGAAAGAAAGAAGGAGGCATTAAGGAACAAAACTTACTTCAATAACCAAACAAACAAACTTGGCTATTTTCCCCAAGGTAGAATAATTATTAAATTTGGTTAACTGCCTAAGTAACGTCTGTGTTAACATATGGCCCTAACAACTACATGTAAAATATATATATACAGTTGAAATGAAATAAGTTCATTTAAAAGCAAAATTGAAAGTATTCAACCACTCTTCTGAACAAATACTTGCCAACATGCATACCGAAGGAAAAAAAAAAAAAGAATGACCATAGACCAGTACTTAGGAAAAAGTAAATAAATAGTCTTGAAATGAATGATAAACACAGACCATACAGCCTTGAAGAAAGTCAAAGCAGTGCATTTTTAGTCTAAGCATAAGGCTCAATCACTAAGAAATCAAGATAACTTAAGGTAAATCTCATGGTTCCTTGAAGTTAGTCTCATAAATTTAAGTGGAGTTTACTGCATAGACTTACACTTTGTCTTCCGATTTGTCTAGACCATAGGCTAGAGCAGCAGCCGTGGGTTCATTAATCACCCGAAGCACATTTAGTCCAGCTATCTGGCCAGCATCCTTAGTGGCCTGAAGAAAATAGGAAAAAGCATTTTCCACCTTTGTGTTCCAAGTACCATTAATTTCTTTAAAAAAAAAAAAAAAAAAAAGGCTAAATGAACTCACCTGTCTCTGAGAGTCATTAAAATAAGCTGGGACTGTGATCACACTATTTTTTGCTGTATGCCCCAAATAATTTTCTGGAAAAGAATCAAAGAATTAATCCAATCGTGAATTTCTCTGTCAGATGAAGTAGGTAACAGAATTACTAATGTAACCTAACAACCTTTGTCATCCTCTTGGAGACACAGAGTACTCATCAGTTTTTCACCATGTGACCTAACGTGTAGAGACTTTAAAGAAAAACACTTTAATTAAAGACACTGGTTAAAAAACCAATATCTCATTAACATTTTAGTGAAGATTCACCAGCTACAACAACATTGGGAAGTTCAAATGGGAAGTTCTAAATTTTACCTGACAGAGACAAAAACTTAATGTGCAGTCTTTTGGCTTTTAATACACTACTCTCCTACTGGAAGAAACAACCAAGAAAGCCACCGTTAGGAAAACGTAGAAGATCAATTCAATCTGCAGGGAAAGTACGAAGAGTAACAAAGTTTTCCCATTCCTAGATTCTCCGTATAAAAGCCATCAGAGACTCATCAAAGGAACACTGGGGCATGAAAGTTAGTGATCTCAGAAAAATCACCCAATTCTTAGAACTTTCCCAGACATGAAATGAACTTTCTCACCTGCAGTCTCTTTCATCTTCATCAACACAAATGCTCCAATCTGACTTGGAGAATAGAGTTTCCCATGAGCTTCTACCCAGGCATCGCCATTGGAGGCACGGACAATTTTAAAGGGAACATTTTTACTGCAAAACACAAAAATTATATATGAGAAAACATGCCAGTGCAACCTATCATGACAAGGTTACCACATACCATGAATGTCCACTCTCCATCCCAAGAGATCCATGGCCAATGACAAATTCATTTAATGAAAACCTTTATAAAATAATCATTAATGTAAAAACATTCTGATGAAACTTGAACATTCTTCACTTCTCACCAAAGGTTTATGCAGCTGCTTTGGAAAATGATTAGTTACCATATGACCCATCGATTCCATTACTAAGTGTCCAGCCAAGAGAAATGAAAACACGTCCACACAAAAACCTGTACATTAAGTGTTTATAGCCAACACTATTCATAATAGCCCTAAACTGGAAATAACCCAAATGCCCATTAACTGACAAATAGATAAACAAAACATAGTACATATCCAAACAATAAAATATTATCTGGCAATAAAAAGGAATTACGTGCTGATACATGCTACATGGACAACCTTGAAAACATCTGATCGAACATGATGGAACCTGTACCATTATCTGTCTTATGAGTTTAACACCAATTTATCTGGTTTGGAAATAGGAAGCCAAATCTTCATATACCATTTCTATACACAGCAAAAATCCTAATCTATGGAGACAGAAGTCAATTTTTTTGAAGGAGATATCCTTTTGGCAGCAGCAGGGCTCACCCCCAAGGACATGTAAAATTACTAAGCTAAGGTGCTCCAGGGATCTCACTGAAAAGATTCTTTGCAAATAAACTTTTGCTATTACTTACATGTCTTTCTGGACTTCAGGGTCATCATATCGCCGGCCAATGAGACGCTTGGTGGCATAGAATGTGTTGTTTGGGTTGGTGACAGCCTGTCGCTTGGCTGGCATGCCAACAAGTCGCTCACCATCTGCTGTAAAGGCCACAACTGAAGGGGTGGTTCTGGCACCTTCAGCATTCTCTAGCACCTAAAATTCCCAAAGCAAGATGGAGAATAAGGTTCCAGTCACCACCAGTGTCTCTGTGAATACTGATAGTAAGTATCTTTCAGTAGATGTTTAAAATATGTTTAGTTCTTTACTTTGAAACAACATATAAACAGAAAAAAATAGGATAAACATAAATCACATCTTTCACAGTCAATGTAGGGTCAAAGTAATCTTTCCTCCCATATGGAAAATTAAATCTACTTAATTTTTTTGTAATGGCTAAAAGTTTCAGGTATGTAAAAATATTGCCAAGAAGTAATTCAAGATTCCCAGGTGCTCTAAATCTTGAGAAGAACACAGTGGGGAAAAATGGTTTCATGAAAAGAGTAAGGAGGCTTCTACAATAGCTGCCTCTATTACAGCAGGAAGCTCCTAAGAACATACTTTACTTAGGATGCAGCCCCTGTGTTATGTGGAGCTCCACTTGTTTGTAGACTAGTCAGTACATCCAGCCTTGGTTCAACTGACAAAAACGCAGGACTCTGATTGTAGATGTAACAGTGCAAGCCATCCCAATAGATCCTAATGGTAACTTGTGTTACTTCTATACCAGGACACAAACCCTGGGAAGTCAAATCCATTCAATTATCAGCACCATGAAACTAAACACAAAGGTTTACCTCACAAGAGTCTTAAGAACTTAAAAGCAGCTTTTAAAATGTCCCTTATCTAAGCCAAAGGACACAGAATTCCAGATTGGGTACTAGCTATCATTACATGATCCAGAGCTCCCAACCATGCTCACCTTTGCTTGTTTACCTTCCATAACTGCCACACAGGAATTGGTAGTACCCAAATCAATACCAACAACTGCTCCCTTGATTGCTTCTGATCTGTAAAACATTTAAAACAATGCTACAGTTATCATCTTAATAATGGTCTCCAAAATGGTTGCAGGAATACATATTTGACAATGTGAGAATTACATAATCTATAATATAGATGTATCCTTTTTTTTCTGAGTGTAATCATTAATCACAAATTTAGAGATTACTGCTCTGGGATTTAATATTTATATCATCCCTCAAAAAGAAAATGAAGTTACTTACGCATAGTCTCGTCTTGAAATAATTCTAAAAGCCTCATGACTAAGGCCATTCCAGCCATCCTAAAATGGAAAAAAAATTGCATCAGCCATCAACTACATATGAAAACTTGAACTTGTTCCAAGTATTCTTCTGAAGGACACATCAAAGTCTAAGACTTTCATTTATTAATTGAGTGGCTATTACGTACAAAGTATACTAAGATAATAAAGTATTTCACGCATGAGGCATTGTACTGAAACAAATAACGTATGAGTTTCTGAATAAGTCATAGAAATTAGATATAAAATTGTCTTGAGTTATATTACAACAGGGTTTTTCAACTCTGGCACTATTGATTTTGAACCAAATGTTTATTGTGGGTGTCTGTTCTGTGCATTCTAGAATGTTTAGCAGCACTGTGGGCCTCTACCACTAGAAGCCAGTAGCATGGCTCCCCAAGTTTTTAACAACCAAAATTATCTCCAGAAATTACGAAATGTCCCCTGGGGAGGCAAAACTGCCTGATTGTGAATCACTGCATTACAACGTGCTATTCAGAAACGTCTCAATTTCAATGTCAGGAACAGTGTACACCTAAGCCTTATGCATGTATTGCTGATATAGATTTTAGTTAAATTTCCCCTGATCCTGCCAAGCAACTGCTTTAAAGGAACTAGAATTAGTAATTTTGTGGAATGTAACAAATTTTTTTCAGGAGTGTCGCCTCTAACAAGGATCAAAGACCTTTGTTAGAACCTATCCTCAGGATACTTCTAAGCCTTCCTTTAACCGTATGTGAGTACAGAGAGACAATTCCGGTTATCCAATGAAGTACGTTTTTGGCCTTTTCCTAATCCGCTTATTTTTTTCTGAAATAACAGAAAAGAACAATCTTACACCAAAGATTCTGAGTAACTAGCGAGGCAAATATTACTTAAAAACAAAACAAAACACCAGCTTGATTTTCGATTTCCTGTTCAAATACTTTCTTCATTTCATCATAGCAACGGGGTCCTTGCACACACTGTATTTTACAGAAGGGAAGAACAGTCGTACCTCCGACTCGTAGGTGAAAATAAAAACTAGAATAGCGGTTCCCTCCCAACTAGAATTGCGTCCCTCGCTACGAAGGCCAAATGTGTCCAATTAGCCACAGAACGGACTGTCAGAATCACTATCCGCTACTTCATGGAATAAGAGTACGTTCGCGAGGGGTGTGACTCAGCAGGGCCCGAGACATGGAGGCAAAACCCTGTATTAGGCTTTGAATACGCAGCGTTCATTATTGAAGACCCGTTATCTTTTTTTCCCCTCCTGATCTCCACCAAAGGAGTCTGACCCTGAAGGGCGCGGCCTGCTTCAACGAGGCCCAAGGCCGTGAGCCCCTCGGGAAAGGCCCGGCTGTTCCATACCTGGTGGCGGGTGACTGTGGTACTCCGGGAGGCTGTAGCTCCGATGAGACGGGCTGCCGCAGCTCGGCTGGCGCTTATCATGGCGGCTAGGTGGTGGGAGTACGAGGCAGCAAACAGGCGCTCGGACGACCAGAAGCTGCGCTGCGCGGCAGTGGAAACGCTTCTGGAAACCTCCAACCACGTGGGCTTGGGGCGGGGG